ACCGGCTCACTCTCCAGGCTTCTGCCTCTCTGCCTGAACTGGGCTTTGGCTACAGATCACAGACACCGGAGGAGAAGCGTGTACCTTTGGGATCTTGGCCCCAAGATCTTGGTACTGCTTGGGGTTCTTCAGGAAGTTGACAAACTCCATGATCTCCAGCTTGGCCTCTTCGCAGCCAGCCACGTCTTTGAACCTCACGTCAACGTTGTCCTTCAGGATCTTGGCCGTGGTCTCAGCGACACTGAAGATCCCTCCCCCTCGCCCACCACGCCCACTGCCCAACGGCCCGCGTCTAAGCGTGAGCAGCAGAAATCCCACCAGCAGCAGGGTGGGGACCATGTTCAGGAAGAAGGAGCTGCAAGGTGAGGAGATCAGACAGGTGCATGAGCTGCGGGGGGGGCATGGGGGGACCGTGCAGCGGGGCCGCCCCTCAAGCTGGGCTGGCACTCACCCATCGCTTTCGGTGCTGTAGACCACAGGGACCCAGTGGCTGCTGTCGATCCCCAGCTCCAGCTGAGCCATCTCCAAGTTCCGCTCAAATGTATCCACGCTGCCGATGTTGAACCAGACATACTTCTGCAGCAAGCAGCAACAGGTACGGACTGATGGGCTCTGCCTCTGCAGTCCACACGCCCCCCCCACTTGCCCAGGAAGACAGTGAGGGGCCCTCAGGGGGCTATGCAAGGTAGCCTGAGCAAGGCTGCCTGGCAGGTGCAAGGCCTCGTATCGCAACTACCTGCCTAATGACCAGGGGAGCAGCTGCACTAGAAAGGAAAACAACGTCCCACAGGGAAGCTCAGGCTCCATCCTCTCCTTGGACCCGACACACGTGCTGGACCATTGCTTGGTGCAGCTGCACACCAGAGCTCAAGGTTCTGGAGAGGCCCCTGGACCCAGACGACTGTGCCTCGAGGAAGACTCCCTCTGGGGCGGTGCCTTTCCTTCTCAAGCTCAGCTCTCCCTTACCTCTAAGCCAGCTCCGGGGACAGGGAACACCCGCACAAACTGCTTGTTCACCACTTCCAGTCGTTCCACCTTCAGACCGAGAGAGAGAGGAAAGGGTGTGTGTGTGAAGATTCGCTTGTGTACAGAAGAGTATGGCAGGCCCATGAAGCGCTCCCAGGCAAAGGCAGGAACAGAACCTGCCTCCTCTCTCCTTGCCCCTCTGGCGGCAGGGGGCCACGGCAAGCCCCAGGGCTTCTGGTACTTGCTGCAGAGCAGAAGGGAAAGCAGAGCCCACAGATAATAAAGAGCACTTCGCTCAGGGCCTCACCACTCCTCTGGCCAGGTAGTAATGCACAAAGTGCTTCCAGTTGATCTCTCGGCCAGGATCTCGCCAGGCGAAGTACAGGAAGCCCGAGGCGACACCAGCCGCCATGACAGCCAGGAGGCAAAGTACAGAAAGCCCGGGGCGACCCCAGCCGCCATGACAGCCAGGTACCGGAAGTCCCTATTGTCCCAGGGGAACTCTCCCTGGTGGCAAAGAGGGAATGAGGCTCATTTAGGCCATTTGTCATTTCACACACACACACACACACACACACACACACACACACACAGAGGTTTTTTTTTTGATTCATGGGGGTAAGGGAGGACAACATATATAAATCTTTAAATCGCACACGTTCGCAGCCGACGGGGATTTTGTTCAGCTGTAGACTAGACATGTTCCAGACAGCATTTTCCCACTCGGCATGGCTTGATGACGTCAGCTTTCTCCAGGTCTGCTTCGAGTCTCAACGCCGCACTGCCACCGCCTGGCCAGCACGGCCCATTACAGGCTTCTTGATGCCGAAGAGATCTTTCTAGGCTTCCGATCTTACGAGCTGGACATTCCGTTCACCGGCTAACACCTCCCCCACCGGGGGGTTTAGTGGCACAGAGCTGGGTATCTCCAGCCTTCACCTATTCTGGTGCCAAAATGAAGGCTCCTTCCTTGTCTACCCAGGGTTTGAATGGGTCAGTTCCAGAGCCGCCTCCTGCCCCAATAAAAAGAAACTGCCCCCCCCCCACTCAATATCATGAGACAGAAGAGTAGCAAGTAAGACTGTCCAGGAGAATTCATCACACAACCATGCCTGGTTCTGTCTGCCTCTAAAGTTGTAGCTTCAACCAAACCTGGCTATCTGTGAGCCTTTCAGACAGCTGGGCCCTTCTAAATGCAACTCTTGTGCTCTGATATGCAACAACCCCACAACATCGATCTCTTCACCAGAGTTGTGACAATCAAGAGCAAGAGGCCAGAGCTGATGCTGGAGTCACATACCTTTGGGAGGTTTGGAGCTCAGCCAATCATGGAAGGATGCAATACAGCCTGGATGAACCCTCTGAAGCCACTAGAGAAGAGAGAAGAGATTGGATTCATCTTCACTACCCAAAGGAGTCTCAGAACAGCTTAGAAACTCCTTTCCCTTCCCCTCCCCACAACAGACACCCTGTGAGGTAGGTGGGGCTGAGAGAGATCTGAGAGCTGCCCTTGAGAGTATAGCTCTGAAAGAACTTATGACTGACCCAAGCTCACACGAGCAGCTGCATGTGGAGGAGTGGGGAATCAAACCCGGTTCTCCCAGTTTAGAGTCCACGCTCCTAACCACTACACCAAACTGGATCTCACTAGAACAAGCACAAAGGTTTCCACAGTGTTAGCAATGAACCCACCCCCTTTCTCCCACAATCAAGAGCAAGGTTAGAGGCACAAATAAGCAGCCCAATCATCTAAAGCAGGGGTGTCAAACATGTGGCCTCGGGGCCACATCAGGCTCCTGGAGGGCTTCTATCTGGCCCACAGTGGAACTGGCTGTCTTCTGCTGCTTCCTCCAGTTCTGCTGCGTCATTGTAGGTTTGCAGCTTACAGATACACACCTGAACAGCATACTCAAGATTGCAACAGCACAGACATTTTGATGCAATAATTCAGAGCAAGAGGTGTCAGTTATCAGACACCGTTAAATAAACAAAATATTTGAAGAGTATTTTTTTAAGTGTTTTAAGTGTCTTAAACATGTTTTTATTTTAAGTAAAAAAAACCTTTGTGTTTGTGTCCTTTATAAAGTTTATATCTCCACTACCTCGCATTACATTTTAAGACACACATGGCTCGGCCCAACAAGGTCTCATTTATGTCAGATCTGGCCCTCATAACAAATGAGTTCAACACCCCTGATCTAAAGGGCTTTGGGCTATGCACTCAGAAGGTTGTGCACATGTTGCTGCCGCAGAAGAATTGGCACATCAGCAGATGAATACAAAGATGGCCTGCCAGCTAGAGTGCATGCCATGGACCTTGGGGTCTGAGTTCAAATTCCACCCTGTCATTGGCTCAGGGTTGTGGCCACAAGGAAGTCATTCTTTTTCAGCGATCCATAAAATGGAAATTCTATCAGAGGTTCAGTATGTATGCAAGCCCAAGAGTAAAGTTTACAGGGTAAGAAAAGTGATTGATAAAGAAGACAAGCCTGTTGTCATCCAGAACCATGTTAGACAAGTTTTCTGAGGGCTAAAAAAACAAAGTTATCCAAGTGTCAAAAGGAACATAAACCTTGGGGGGGGGGGGGGTTAAAAGCTCTGCACTATTTACCACAGACATATGCATCCACTGATGTTGCTAGGCTGCAGCTAAAAGCCCAGCAATTTATGGGGGGGAGGAGATATCCCCCTCATCCCCCAATTTTAAAGCTGCAGACTCAAGCAAAATCATGTATAAAACTGGTGGAATTAGGAGGGGTGGTGTCATAGATTAAGGGGTGGTGGTGGAACAAAAGGACTTTGAAAATGCTCGCTGCTCTGAGTAGAAGATAACTTGAGGTGAACAAGCAAACAGATTTCTTGGTGTGACTCATACTTTCCAAGCACCCTGTAACAATTTCCAGAAAGTAAGACCCCACCTCTGCTATTTCTGTGCCGAGATTTTTTTTAATGAGAGGATGCTTTAGACATACATGAAGGGGAAAGTGGTTGAAATGTACAGTGCGTCCACAGGCGGCGGCAGGGACACAGTGACAGTTCTATGGTTTGCAGACCAGATTGTCTAGTTGTTTTGGATGCCTTGGCTCCTGCAACGTTAAGCAGTAACACCGACAGCTGCTTTGAGTGCAAAAATCTGACTTTATGACTGCAACAATTTGGCAACAGATGCTCACCATCTCCCTCCAAAAGCAGAAGCGAAGGCAGCATTCATGATTTCCAGATTCAGGACTTCTCAAGTAAGAAAAATTCTCCTGCAACTGCTGAGGACAGAAATAAACTGTCCCATATTGCAGATGGAAGAGCTCTGCCTTATGGCAGCTCTGGAAAGTAGCCCAGTGTTACCACCCAATGTAGTGGTAGGAGAAGGCTGAAAGTATTTTTGGGGTCAAATACTAATGTGTAGTGCTCCTTGGCCCATGCTGCAGCTGTCTCTGTTTACCACCAGCTATCCCAGTTTACCACCAACTGTCCCTATTTTGGCCATTTGGGGATGTTTGCTCTTAGTCCCTTTTCAGAGTTCCATTCTTTCTTCCATAATTTTGTAAATTAATCTCAGTGGGGAATAGGTCCACTTTGAGTCTAGCGCACCTCCCTGTAAATGCACCTGCACAAATACTGAGGGGCCCTGCAGTGCATGATTGGCCATTTAATTCTTTGCAGCTGCTGATTCTGTTTAGAAGAGCTACTAATCCAGACTAAACGAATAGAGCCTCCAGCAGCTTGCAGTCGTGGCTGGCAGCAGCAGTGCTTGGGATGAGAGTAGCAATACTTACTATCTGTGTTTCATATGGTATCTGATGGTCACATACGTTATCTCATTGCAATCTACTGGACTGTCTTGGAAGGTAAACTGGCATTATTACCTCCGCACTACAGACTAGGGACTGAGAGGGGTGGGCTGGTTTGACTCTAGTAGATAAGTTTCCATCCTACGAGGAAAGGCTGAGGACTTTAGGGGTTGTCGGTTTAGAGGAAACGACAGTCAATGGCGAGGACACGATGGAAAATTATAAAAAGTTTTCCCTCCCACGACACTTGAATTCCGGGCTCGCAATGCAACAGATAGGCAGTTACTTCAGGACAGCCAAAAGGAGGCCCTTCTTCACGTCCGGCACAATTAACCTTCAGTTAATTATGCTGGTGAAACTCGTCTCAAGCAGCTGCTAGAAAGGGATAAGGGGAATGCATGGAGGGAGAGGGCGGGGAATGGAAAGGCCAGTCATTGCTGGCCAAATGGAACCTCCAGAGCCCGAGGCAGCTCGCTTCTAAACACGGAATGCTGGGAAGGAGGCATCCCGAGGCCACACGAGACTCCGGAAAGGCACACGAGGGCCTGGATGACTGCCCGTCTGCCGAGCGCGGCCTAGGACTGGCGTTCAGGCGCGTCGGCGCGAGCGGATGACGCCATCGACGCGCGCCGCCCTACCGCCAGGACTCTGGGGGGGGGACGGGAGACACGGAGCCCCCGTGGTTTACGGCACTGTCGTAAAGGAGGCCCTCTCCTCACCTGCTGGACCGGGGACAGCTCCGCGAGCCCGGCCAGCCCGCTTCCCCGGCAGCGGCCTCCGCGCAAGGCGGCCAAAGGAGGCGCGGCCAAAATCGCCGCCGCCAAACGAAAGGCCATTATTGTCCCGACGCTCTCGAGCGGGTAGGGCGCATGCGCCTCTGCCCCCCCCCGAACCATAGAGGCGGAAAGGCCGGAGAGTCCTTCCCTGCTAGAGCGGACTCCCCGCTTCCTGTTGATTCGGATGCGGGAGGACACCCCGCCCATATATTTCAATGACACTTATATAGCCTGGGTTGACTGACAAGAATTTCCCCCGAGTTGAGGAGGGTGTTTTCTTAGGTTACTGTTATGTATCGAGCCTAAGCCATTCCTCAAGCTGTACCAGGAAGGGGTTGAGCTTGCTACTCTAGAACAATAGCTCACCAGGATCCTGGAGCAAACCAGTAGATAAGTAGTGTAAAGTAAATAGCCTATCATTGGGAGTGTGTGTGTGTTGGGTGTGGTGTTTGCATGCTTTATAAGCAGGGCTCAAGCCTTGCTGGGTGCCAGTTTGGTGTAGTGGTTAAGTGTGTGGACTCTAATCTGGGAAAACTGGGTTTGATTCCCCACTCCTCCACTTGCACCTGTCTGGATGACCTTGGGCAAGCTGTAGTTCTGATAAGAACTGTTCTTGAAAAAGAGCAGTTTCTGTCAAGAGCTCGCTCAGCCCCACCTACCTCACAGGGTGTCTGTTGTGGGGAGGGGAAGGGTTTGTAAGCCACTCTGACACCTTTGGGTAGTGAAGGGTGGGGTATAAATCCAATCTCCTCTTCTTCCTTCTTGTGTTCCTGAAATCACTAAATAAACTAGAGCTGATCACTGCAATGCGTCCAGAACCCAGTATTTAACGGTTCCCTTGCAGGTTCTTTGCGGGGGGCGCACATTCATGAGTCGCAGCGCCTTCCTGAATGTGACCCGCCACCTTGCCTTTTCTCCACCACCACCCCGAGCTCCCCTGCAAGCTTCACTCCCACTGGCAGTTGGGGCACTTTGGCTCTGGAAAGCTCGCACCCCCGAACCCTGTTGGTCTCTAAGGTGCTGCTGAACTTGAAGGTAGCTCTACTCCTGGGCAGAGCAACGCAGCCACCCTCTGTAACAACCTCCAATGGGACGTCCCCCATCAGCCAGCCTAGCCCTGGAGCCACACTTTACCCAGATGCCGCAGCTGCCTGTGGATTTTGTCTCCCACTGGCAGCAGTGGCTTCGGAACAGGATGAACCAAGTTCCGATTGGATGTTGCAACTCTGCTTGCAGCAAGAGGGTCTGGGAGGGAGCGGGTTAAGAGAATTCTCCCACTCAGGTACACTTGGCATCGGTTAGATGTTGACATCAGTTAGATGTTGAGCTACTTTAACTATTGCTTGCCTTCTGTTTTCAACTTATGTAGGACCTCTCTTCTTCTCTGTTACCTGTAGCAAGTTAACCTTTTTGAAGTTAGTCTGTTCACTGCAAGTTAAATTTACCTACATAAATACGTAAGATACACTTCCATTTTTGTGAGTAAAATTTCTTTTTACCATTTTACCATCTTTGTAATTTGTTTGAACAGCATTTTCCCCTTAACCAGGAAAGCATGGAGGATCAGAGATCCTGTGTAAAGCTTCTGTGCTCCCAAGGCAATTGATTTTTTAAAAAAACATTTAACCCAATAGTACTACCCTCACCCAAGCCTCATTTGCCTTAAAAACCTGTTAGAAGAAATGCCCCAAAAGGCCACAAAGATCCCAAAGAATGACTGCTGCCCTGCTTCCTGGCCCTCCTGCATCCCTTAAGTTCCCTCCTCTCCGGGTCACACTTCTTTTTCCTTTGCGGCCATTCCTGTTACCTTCTTCCCCTTTCTCTGCCCTTCACCCACACTCCTTCTCCACTTTACTCCACTGCGTGCCCAGTATTGGCACTAGTATCGGCAAGGAGCACACCTGAGATCCAGTCACTTCTGCAGTAAGAGCAGCAGCTTAAAAACCAGTGGGTGCCTGAGCCTACAGGATGGGTTTTTGGGGGGGGGGGGTTGAAACTGCTTCACCACAACAGCAGCTGCACTAGCAATGGAAAAGAAACCGGGGAAGGGGGACTTCATTATGGGAAGCGAAAGTAAATATGAGAGGAACAACAAGAGAGGGAAGGAAATGGGGGACCCGTGCCCCCCCCCCCCCCCGTCTCAGCCAGGAACCCCAACTCCTCCCCCTCCAGTTCCCACCCAGGGCCAGAAGCCCTATTCATGCATACAAAATGTCTGTTGTACAGGGGCTTATGTAGCGGCATCAGCTGGCTGCTGTCAAGAGTCTCTGACCCCACAAAGTCTCACCCACTTAACTAAGGCCAGCCAACACAATCTATTGCAAAAGTACCAGCAAGCTCAAACAATTAATACTACAACCTGAATGTTTATGTCCTACAAAATCATCAAAAAATCATCAACCCCCCCCCAAAAAAATAATTAAAAATACATATGGTAAGGATTAGGGCCTCCCCGAGTAGTGCCTCCTACTCTTTCTCTCCATTTCAAAGTGGCCATGGAGTCAGTAAGGCTGCTGGTCCTGGACTACCAGGGACTGTCCTAGGGCTGAAGCCGGCACATGCTTTCCTCTGTTATTTCCCAAAAGTTGTGACAGCAAGGAACACTGTCACACCAAGAGCAGGAGGGGGAGTGCAACCGCATCAACACAGCCCTGCCACAGTCTTCTAAACAAGCCAACTTCTGTCTAGCTCCTGCCTTTCTCTTTCTTCTCTCCAGGATGTCTGTTCATGCCTGATAAATGCACCCTGCACCCCAACACAGACTCTGTGGACACAGTCTTCCTCTCTAACTGGCCTAAGCAACTTCAGTTGTATCTGTACACTTCTCACACAACTTCCCACAAACACTTAAGACACCAGCAATTCCAAGTCTGCTGAGCTTGGTCAAAGAGTGGTACAATCCCCTTCCCCAGTTATCCACCAAGAGTTTTTGAGAAATGCCCTCTACCCAAGAATTCAAGCCAATATTTCAGTTATTGTGACTGTTCTCTCTCCATGCTCAGGAGCCCAGCTGCAGGCTAGTAGCTGGCACAAAGAAGTGGGTTAAAGGAAGGAGCAGTCAAGCCCCCAAGTTCTTAACTAGGCTGGTAGGGCAATTAGTTTCCTATTTCACATCCTGCCAGTAAGTCACGCTAAGAACCATAAACCATAGACTAAAGTTATAGAAGGAAAACTTTCTTAGGGGATAGGCAGGAACAGTAAGGTCACCCCCAGTGGGGGTGGGAGAAAAACAGAGGTTAGAAGGAAGACGCTCTCTTAACTCTTACTCTTGGAGCTGGAAGATATGAACCAAGCTTTCACTTACGGACTCTATCTTGTCCACAACACAAGAATACAGAGGGAAGGGTAAATCATGAGAATTAAGGTAATGCTGAACTTTAAACTATTGCAAGTTCAGGTAAACTAGTCTGACCTATATAAACATCATTTAGGAAGTACCTAGCGTAGGGAAA